CTATGATCATAAACTAGTAAAAGCACGGTTCCTCCTGTGCTGTATTTCCCATACAGCACCGGGAACCGTGCTTTAACTAATACATACAGTATAGTAATATACAGTATAGTCACTACAATACTTGATACAGTGACATACCACATAGCCACATGCTACAAGAGGTCCTTCATTTAAATGGTACATGAATGATCCAGCATATGTCCTCCGATCCTATAAAGTGATTAACAATTAATTTCATTTTACTGTAGAACTGACAACTTCTAAGTTATGAACATTTTAATGTTGGCAATTGTTACGTTACATCATGCACTTACAAGTACATGTTAGCATAAATCATGCACATGTAATGATGTACATGTACATGTACGTGCATGTTTTAAAAATGCTCATGAGAGGGCATAAGGTCATAGGAACTAAGATCAATAACACTAATTAAAAGTACATGTACATGTTTACATAAATAGTAATTATACTAATTAACACAATATACATGTGTATAACCTACTAATTACATGTACACATAATTACCTCATACATATGTGACCATACTTGACAAAAGGTACATGTACCTTATGGCGGGTAGTGAAATTTGTCTTTATAGCCAAAACAATCCAACTTCCTGAGCTCCATTTATCATAAAAATACTTCAGAGGATGCAAAAAGTTCCTATGTAACTTTTAGAAACAATGCTTGTCCAACAGAGCACTCACAGGATGATATTTTTCATTTTAATGATGAATTTTAAAATCCGCCATAAGGTACCTTTTGTCAATTATGGTCACATATTATGACATTCTTATCAGTGGGTTGTCAAGTTTATAATTTTTTCTGATGCATATATACATGTACTTACATGTATGCTGCATAAAAACTTGAAGCTGCTTCAGTTCATTCATAAATATTTAAAGTTGCTCAAAAATCGGGCCAAACGTCATAATAGAAAATTCTCCATTTTTATAACTTTTCAGATACATATACGTACATGTCCTTATGTTATGTTTCTTAAATTTGAGTTGATTTGATCAAGTTTAGATTTTTTACGAATAATTTGCTCAAAATGGGTGTACTATACAGGTTAATACAAGAATTTGGCCAAATTTCGTCAAAAAATGGCTAGGAAAGAATTATTTGTTTTTATAATTTTTTTGATACAATCTTATGCTATACTATGTGTATATAGGGGCCAGGTATGTTTCATGGGGATTTAATTTCGCTAATTTCATGGTTTTTAAAAAATTGTGAAAATTTATATCTATGAAAATTATTTTTTATGATATTAAGTGGTCAGTAGAAAAAACACAAAAAAATTTTTCCTGTGAATAGGTTGAAAGGTAATTTTTGTGAAATATTTCCCCCGGGGACATTTTAAAAGTTCATCAAAAATTGGGCGAATGACCAAAGACTATAGTCTTCGATTTTCAGTCAAATTTTGTAAAAAAGAATACGTGTAAGCTGATTCCAAGCAATTTTGGATTAAAAAAAAATTTTTTTAAATTGCTGTAGTCAGGCTTGGGGCGAGTACTTTGGTACTCGTACCGTAGGGCGCCTTTTTTTCGAGGGCTATAAATTTCGCGGATTTCGCGATTTTTTTAAAGATTCGCGAAAATTACTTTTGCGAAAATCAAATCAATACGGTACAAGATGGCAGACGGCATAAATTCACGAAAATTAAATCCGCGAAATAAAAATCCACGAAATTCATAGCCCTCGAAAAAAAGGCGCCCTACGGTATGACACTGGTCAGTTTGGATTTGAAAAGTTCATAAGATGTAATAACCGTCTGATTTAATTTATTAATTTTAAAACTAACTTATTAATTGTTTGAAAGTACTCGGTATTTACTCAAGTACTTTTGAACAAAAATTACAAATACTCGTACTGTACTTAAATACTAGTATGTTTTTAGTGCTTACAAGTAATTTGAAGTACATTTTTTGATGCAATGCTAATGTGTTGATATAATAAATACTAGCTAGTGTAAACCACATATATTTACCTCCTGTGGGTCCCATACTACCGTAGGGCGCCTTTTTTCGAGGGCTATAAATTTCGCGGATTTCGCGATTTTTTAAAAGATTCGCGAAAATTACTTTCGCAAAAATCAAATCAATACGGTACAAGATGGCAGACGGCATAAATTCGCGAAAATTAAATCCGCGAAATAAAAATCCACGAAATTCATAGCCCTCGAAAAAAAGGCGCCCTACGGTATGACACTGGTCAGTTTGGATTTGAAAAGTTCATAAGATGTAATAACCGTCTGATTTAATTTATTAATTTTAAAACTAACTTATTAATTATTTGGGTGTGGTCAAGTGCTTAAGTAGTACTTAAGTACTGCAATAGAGTACTCGTACTCATACTGAATACAATTGTAAAAATGAGGGATTTGTACTCGTACTCATTTTAAAAATCTAACAGGTACTTGTAATGTACTTAAATACTTTTTAAAGTACTTCGCCCCAAGCCTGGCTGTAGTATATTGTATTGCTTGTCAGCTCATGAAGCTAATGCTGTTTACATGTACATGTAAGATGTAGCTCACTTAGCATGCTTTGTGGGTAACCCTGTGTGTTATGTAGTATAGGAGTACATTTTAATAATAGAAACAAACTGGAAGTTAGTAATTTAATAATGAAAAGAGTCTTACCATTGGCCAACCAACAGTGTGTTCAACATGACCTGGCCTGTGCTTGCTAGGATCAACTTCCCACAGCTACAGAACAAAACAAAACAATAGAAAGAAAACCAGGAGAGAGAAAAGGGAGAGGCAGGGGAGAGAGAGGGAGGAAAAGAAGTGAGAAGGTAAGAGATAAATTTATAGTTGGGTACAAAAATTATCGTCAATCTAAAAGTTTACGTTTTAGAAAATTTATGCTTTAAAAATTGTGCATGATCTAATTTTTACATAGTTAGACTGTTCATGTACATCATCAAATGTGGCAAGTAATTGTACATACAAATGTATAATTCAGAACCTAATTTTTGCAAATTTCTAATCTAGCAAAATTAAAGGCACAGTAAAATTCCAAATAAAAAAGTTTAATTTGTACAACTGCGATTGCTTTTAGTATTACAGATAATTAGTGCTAGGCGAACCTCCTTGAGTCCAATGCCATAGCTCTGTGGTATACAATTCTTTCTCAGATCAAACTTCTTGTATAACTGCTTTGCCAACGAACCATGACAGCCTTCACCAAATAATGTCACTTTAGAATGTAACTCCATACCACGAGCAAATGAAGACTAGAAATATTATCATTAATAAAAAACATGTACATGTAACAATAGATGTAGTATGTGTACATACCATATACTAATTACACATATTATCAGGTAATAGAAGTGAAATCAGTAGCAAATGAAGTACATTTACCATATATTAGGTAATTTTCATAGGAGAAATTCTCAGACAGAAAAAATTCATGCATTTTTTATTCTTGCGCAGTGGCTCCTGTTTTTTAAATAATTTAATACATGTAAAGGATCCTACAGAGCACTTTGTTTGAGACTGCCTGCCTAGACCAGACTGCCTGCCTAGACCAGACTGCCTGCCTAGACCAGACTGCCTGCCTAGACCAGACTGCCTGCCTAGACTAGACTGCCTGCCTAGACTAGACTGCCTGCCTAGACTAGACTGCCTGCCATCTGCCGTGGGAGAGATACTTGGAAAGAAACAAAGCAGCGCCATAAATGTTTCATGATAATAGTGCCACATGTCTTGACAATGACCATGGTGTCCACACAAAACTTTGCAAACAAAAATTCACGCATGAAAAAAATTTTCATGAATTTGATTTTGCACAAAGCCATATGCATCCGAAAATTATATACAGACAAAAGTTACCAAATATATGGTAGATGTACACTCAATCAATAAAAATACTGTGTAGCAGGAAATTTTAGAGAGAGTTAAATTTAACAAATGAATTTTTATTTTGGCAAATGGCTATCAAAATGCCAAATTTGCCAAATTTAGCTACATGTACTTCCAAAATTTCCTTCTATACAGTAAAATAATGGAATAAGAAATAGGGTTCCCCACAAAGTTATGGTATAGCATTCAGTTTCTTACAGCTAAGTTGCTTATCTATAGTGTTTTGTCCAAAAATTTTTATTGAATTTTCTGATACGTATACATGTACATGTACATGTACATGTACATGTACATGTACATTTGAGCTGATTCCAATCAAACCTTGATTTTTATGAATTTTCAAGTTACTCAAAAAT